GGAGTTGCAGAATCTTGTTCACTGGGAATTATACTACTGTATATGTAATGTAGCATTGCCTTGTAAAACTTATGTATATATGATTTATATTGTATTTTCTTAAAGATAAAAAAAAAGAATCTGTGGTGAGAGTGAGGGACACCGCCTTGACCACTACCTGAGAGAATGTGAACATCTAAGAGTCTTTAGAAATTTGTGTAGAATAATAAACCCCACATTGTTTTGAGTTAGGAAAATACTGTTTGTTTTATTTTTTAAGGGTTGACAAATGTTAATCTCCTTGTTTGAGGAGCTGTTCACTTGAGACAATTAAGCAAGTCCCAGATGCGTCTGGGTACAAGTGACAGGATGAACAACCCAGCGGGTTTTCTTCCTATTGGGGAGTGTTGTACATGCTGCTATGGCGGTGTGTCCACTCACAGGATGAGTGACGCTGCCCAATACTGTCACTATGGCGGTATGTCCACTCACAGGATGAGTGACGCTGCCCAATACTGTCACTATGGCGGTATGTCCACTCACAGGATGAGTGACGCTGCCCAATACTGTCACTATGGCGGTGTGTCCACTCACAGCATGAGTGGCGCTGCCCAATACTGTCACTATGGCGGTATGTCCACTCACAGGATGAGTGGCGCTGCCTAATAAACTCGCCCCTCGGGGCAAAATAAACAAATTAATTCAACACGAAACAACTACATGGGTTTAGACTTAGTAATTATTACGTCACCAGGGAACATAAAAGGCCTAAAATCACTTGATTGTTTCAAGCGTAGGTTATACATATATATGAACGAGTTTAGGCGGATATAAACAGGAGATGCCACGTGTGGGTCAATAGGCCTGCTGCCGTTTTCTTGATTCTTGCATTCTTAAAAGAATGTGTTTACTGTGGTGTGTGGAGGAGGTGTTCAACATTGTGTTGAACATTAACAACACAACACAACACTGTTTAAACATTTTTGTTTTCATAGTACCAGTTAGATGGTAACTGGTAGCCAGTTCCAAATTCGTAGTGAGGAGCAGCGTGTGTGATTGTGGCACTCTGTTCCCTCTTGAATTGAGGCGACGCCGACCCAACCACGTTGGGCACATACCCAACAAGAACCAAGGTGCAAAGTTGGGTGAGGGTGTAAGCATCCAGCCTCTAGCCTGGAATAGACAGACAGACAGGCAGGCAGACATTCTAATTTACATTTACATCTTAATAAAGTGGTCAGGCGTAAGGGGGAGGAATGACAGAAAACGGCATGTGAGACAGTCGAGATTGAAGACATACTGAACCAAACAGACAAGATAACGGATAAGCTTCAAACATATGAAAACACAGTGACAGGAACTTGACAAAATGAATAGGGAATAAAACAGCGGAGGAAGGGAAAGGGAAGGTAAGAGAGAAGGGAGGAAGGAAGAGAGGGTGAGCCAGAGAGGGCCGGAGGCAGGAGGGGCGGGCCAAACACCTCGGCCGTGGAGCTGTCAGCGCCGGTAATTAAGGCGAGTGCCCGTGACACCTCCTCACACAATACGCTATTGATCAATCACCTGACCTGCCAGCCTTCATGCTTATTACACCCCTCCCCCTCCCTCCTGGACCCTCACACCTTCCCTCCCCCCTCCTACACCCTTCCTTCTTGACACCCCAAGACTCCCTCCTTGACTCCCAAGAGTCCCTCCTGACCCCTACATCTCCCCCCTCCTACACCCTCCCCCACCCTTCCTTCTTGACTCCCAAGACTCCCTCCTGACTCCCAAGACTCCCTCCTGACCCCCAAGACTCCCTCCTGACACCCAAGACTCCCTCCTGACACCCAAAACTCCCTCCTTGACACCCAAGACTCCCTCCTTGACTCCCAAGACTCCCTCCTGACACCCAAGACTCCCTCCTGACACCCAAGACTCCCTCCTTGACTCCCAAGACTCCCTCCTGACTCCCAAGACTCCCTCCTTGACCCCCAAGACTCCCTCCTGACTCCCAAGACTCCCTCCTTGACCCCCAAGACTCCCTCCTGACTCCCAAGACTCCCTCCTGACTCCCAAGACTCCCTCCTTGACTCCCAAGACTCCCTCCTGACTCCCAAGACTCCCTCCTGACTCCCAAGACTCCCTCCTGACTCCCAAGACTCCCTCCTGACTCCCAAGACTCCCTCCTGACTCCCAAGACTCCCTCCTGACTCCCAAGACTCCCTCCTGACTCCCAAGACTCCCTCCTGACTCCCAAGACTCCCTCCTGACTCCCAAGACTCCCTCATGACCCCCAAGACTCCCTCCTGACTCTCAAGACTCCCTCCTGACCCCCAAGACTCCCTCCTGACTTCCAAGACTCCCTCCTGACTCCCAAGACTCCCTCCTTGACCCCCAAGACTCCCTCCTGACTCCCAAGACTCCCTCCTTGACTCCCAAGACTCCCTCCTGACTCTCAAGACTCCCTCCTGACCCCCAAGACTCCCTCCTGACCCCCAAGACTCCCTCCTGACCCCCAAGACTCCCTCCTGACCCCCAAGACTCCCTCCTGACTCCCAAGACTCCCTCCTTGACCCCCAAGACTCCCTCCTGACTCTCAAGACTCCCTCCTGACCCCCAAGACTCCCTCCTGACTCTCAAGACTCCCTCCTGACTCCCAAGACTCCCTCCTGACCCCCAAGACTCCCTCCTTGACTCCCAAGACTCCCTCCTGACCCCCAAGACTCCCTCCTTGCTTCTGACACATCAGGAGACAAATGACCTTTCTTATGTCAACTGTCTTCTCTCTTTTTCATTTGCTACCGTCTCTATATATCTTTTTTGCCTCTCAGTACTCACCTATTTGTGCTAGCATGATCGAGCTCCAGCTCTCGGAATCCACCTTTCAAGTTATCGGTCGTATGAAGCAAAAACGTTTGTCCTATATGTCCTATCTAACGTTTGTCCTATATATATAGTTACCGGTCGGCCGAGCGGACAGCACGCTGGACTTGTGATCCTGTGGTCCCGGGTTCGATCCCAGGCGCCGGCGAGAAACAATGGGCAGAGTTTCTTTCACCTAGCAGTAAAATAGGTACCTGGGTGTTAGTCAGCTGTCACGGGCTGCTTCTTGGGGGTGGAGGCCTGGTCGAGGATCGGGCCGCGGGGACACTAAAAGCCCCGAAGTCATCTCAAGATAACCTCAAGAAGATAACCTATTCTGTCTCAGGACTCACAAGGGGAACATTAATCTGCTCCCCCTCCCCCCCCAACCACTTGGGGTGGACGGTAGAGCGACGGTCTCGCTTCATGCAGGTTGGCGTTCAATCCCCCCGACCGTCCAAGTGGTTGGGCACCGTTCCTTTCCCCTGTCCCATCCCAAATCCTTATCCTGACTCCTTCCAAGTGCTATATAGTCGCAATGGCTTGGCGCTTTCTCCTGATAACTCGCCTCCCTTCCCCCCCCCCCCCCCCGGACGCAAGAGAACATGCAGCTGTCCTTCGGCACACTCTGGCAACCTCCGCCGCGGCACAGGTAACAACCTGGTACAGTGCATGTAGCAGAGACTCGCCAGTCTCCGGCGCCTTCCTTTCGCTTCTGAACCTTAAACTGAATGTGATGTTGAAAGGCGGAACCCAAGAGCTGAAGCTTCAACCCTGGCAAGCATAACTAGGCTTCGTTTGTTAGATTTTTGTTTACATTTATCAAACAGTTTACGAGCTTGTAAACTTCACAACCCGAGGTTGTTATTGTTATATAAACTACCTCATGGCGCATGGGGGGCTCATCAAGTGTTAAATATAAACACAAGATACTGTAAGTGTGGAAAGATGGAGAGATTTCGTTAAGTAATTGTGTAAAATGGTTGACGCGTCTTGGTCCACACCGTGTTACACGCATAGTGCTACCTCTGGCAGGACAGGTTGGGCAGGGGCGGCATCTCCACCGGTCAAGGGACCTGGCAAGGCAGCGGTCAAGGCACCGGTCAAGGCAGCGGTCAAATCACCGGTCAAGGTACCTGGCAAGTTTCTCTGTTTCCTTGCAATTTACCAGCTATAAACTTCACGTAATTGCCTAGCTGTGCTTCACCAACGTCGCACTTCAGCTCTTGGGTTCCGTCTCTCAACATCCCATTCACCTTCAGGTACCGTATCAAAAAACATCCCAGTGACTAAGAGTTGGCATTCCAGCCAGCGTGTGGATAACGTCGTCACCAGGAAACACTTCCCACCAATGACACACCCTCCACCACCTCGGCCTGAAATTCGTGACAATTCGTGACAGATCAGTCCTGCCGGCCGTCCACACCCGAGAGGACTGGCGGCCACCTGACGTGACAATCTCCCCGGAAACACACATATATATATACCATACCTACAACCTTTTGGGAAATAAAGATTACGTTTTTACAATGGTGAAGAAAGACAAATAAGAGTTTAAGTAACAATGTGGTGAGGATGTGTGTGTGTGTTTTAGCCTGGGCGGTACCCGTGGTGCTCTCCAGTGTTGACCAGACCGGAGTGTCACAGACCATCTCCATGCAGACAAAGTTCGGTAGATATATATAGGGTATTGGGTCATCTACACGACCTTTAACCCCCCTGGGGGGTCAAAGCGCCACAAGTGCCCTTTCAAAGAGCTGGATTCTAGGCTGGCACGCAGCTCGCGGAGGTTTACAACCTCTGATCAATGTTATTCTCAAATTTGTAATTAATCCATTTGAAAATAAAATAAAGGATAAATTAAACAAAGGAAGAAAAATAAAAATTTGCATTTGCCGAACCAATAAGGATCCTGTAATTTACTATTTTCTGAGACAATTAGTCTGCACTTCAACAAGTACATGTATTTATAATAAGTATGACTTAGTTGTATGTTTAAAAAGGTACAAACATTAAAATGGAAAAGTGAAATAAAGTATATGTATATCTTACACAACTAGTAAAAAATGTGTGTGTATATATATATATATATATATATATATATATATATATATATATATATATATATATATATATATATATATATATATATATATATATATATATATATACTGCCTCACATACACAAAGGGAGGATTATCATGTGCGTCTCTGATGTGTCAACTCCTTTACTGTGTGCACCAACAGCCATACACGTCTACACCAGCAGCCATACACGTCTACACCAGCAGCCATACACGTCTACACCAGCAGCCATACACGTCTACACCAGCAGCCATACACGTCTACACCAGCAGCCATACACGTCTACACGTGTAAACCAACAGCCATACACGTCTACACTAGCAGTCATACACGTGTAAACCAACAATCATACAAGTCTACACCAACAGCCATACCAAGGACAATCTCTACTAACACCAAGACATATTACACGGGAAGGGTCACAGCAAACTACCCTGAAGGAGTAATTAATGCCAGTGAGGTAGTTTACGTACCGACGTAGCTACCTTGATGACTACTGGTTGATATTACGGTGGAGGGAAGGGCCATATGAACATAGTTGGCTAAAAACACACAAAAAACACAATTAAAACATAAATTAGTAAGCAAGGACGGTGTGTAAAATTGGTCATATCGAAAACTAAAAAGCAAATATTGCTGTAAAGGTTTTTGCCCGAGGGCCCAGGAGCTGAAGACTAAAGCTCCAATCAGTCAGGTTAAGCCGACAGACAAAGGCATGGATGGACAGCAATATTATCGTTAAAGGGTAACACTAAAATAAATAAATGGCAATATCTTTCAAGATACATAGACTAGGACCAGTAAGTGGATGGGCTGAATAATACTGGACTGACGCTAACTCTGTATACTAACTGAATTAGACGAGATACTGTGGTAAAAAGTTCCTTGCAAAGTGTGTAACTTGTGATGTGTGCGAGATACTGAAAGTTAAAATACCCTTCATAAAGGTTGGGCCAACTTTTAGGATCCACGAGTTGAAGGAGAACCTCGAGAGCCGAAGCCCGAAGCTCCTCGGCGAAACCCACGAACTGGAGCAGAACTTCGAGATCTGGAGGCTGCTGGAGCTTCTTGTCGAGACCCACGAACTGGAGCAGAACCTAGAGATCTGGAGGCTGGTGGAGCAGAATCTAGAGATCTGAAGGCTGCTGGAGCAGAACCTAGAGATCTGGAGGCTGGTGGAGCAGAACCTAGAGATCTGGAGGCTGGTGGAGCAGAATCTAGAGATCTGAAGGCTGCTGGAGCAGAACCTAGAGATCTGGAGGCTGGTGGAGCAGAACCTAGAGATCTGGAGGCTGGTGGAGCAGAACCTAGAGATCTGGAGGCTGGTGGAGCAGAACCTAGAGAACTGAAGGCTGCTGGAGCAGAACCTAGAGATCTGGAGGCTGGTGGAGCAGAACCTAGAGATCTGGAGGCTGGTGGAGCAGAACCTAGAGAACTGAAGGCTGCTGGAGCAGAACCTAGAGATCTGGAGGCTGGTGGAGCAGAACCTAGAGATCTGGAGGCTGGTGGAGCAGAATCTAGAGATCTGAAGGCTGCTGGAGCAGAACCTAGAGATCTGGAGGCTGGTGGAGCAGAACCTAGAGATCTGGAGGCTGGTGGAGCAGAACCTAGAGATCTGGAGGCTGGTGGAGCAGAACCTAGAGAACTGAAGGCTGCTGGAGCAGAACCTAGAGATCTGGAGGCTGGTGGAGCTTCTTGTCGAGACCCACGAGTTGAAGAAGGACCTCGAGGTCTGAAGACCGGAGCCTCTGGACGAGACTCGGCAGTTGAAGGAGGACGTAGAGGTCTGAAGACCAGTGGTTCTCGACAAGACTCAGCAGTTGAAGGAGGACGTAGAGGTCTGAAGACCAGAGCCTCTGAACGAGACTCTGCAGTTGAAGGAGGACGTAGAGGTCTGAACACCAGAGGCTCTGGACGAGACCCAGAAGTTGAAACAGGACCTCGAGGTCTGAACACCAGAGGCTCTAGATGAGCTCCAGCAGTTGAAGCAGGACCTCGAGGTTTGGAGACCGGAGCACTTGAATGAGACCCATCCGTCGAAGCAGGACCTCGAGGTTTGGAGACCGGAGCACTTGAATGAGACCCATCCGTCGAAGCAGGACCTCGAGGTTTGGAGACCGGAGCACTTGAATGAGACCCATCCGTCGAAGCAGGACCTCGAGGTTTGGAGACCGGAGCACTTGAATGAGACCCATCCGTCGAAGCAGGACCTCGAGGGTCTAAGACTTGAGCGTACGATCGAGATACTGGAATTGAAGCAGGACCTTGAGACTCTAAGATCTGAACATCCAAAGAAGATGTAGAAGTTAAAGCAGGGCCTCGAGAGCTGAGATCTAGAGGCTCTGGAAGAGATTCAGCAGTTGAAGCAGAACCTCGAGGAATGAAGACAGGAGCCTCTGCACGAAGTTGAAGAGTGGAACCAGTTCCTCGAGAGCTGGAGGCTGGGGAATCCGGGTGAGATCCAGCAGTTGAAGGAAGATCTCCAGGATTGGTGACAGTACCCTCTGGATGAAACCCGGGAGCTGAAACACAATCTGCTTAGAAATCTAGTTTCAAAAGGTTGCAATTCATGATTGGACAAAAAATGTGAAAAACCATGGTCCAGAGTCACGAAGCAGTTATGCAAGTACTTACGAACGTGTACATCTTTCCTCGATCTTTGACGGCTTTGGTTACATTTATTAAACAGTTTACAAGCATGAAAACTTGCCAATCAACTGTTGTTATTGTTATAAACATCCTCCTGGTTCTTCGGGGCTCATTAACTGTTTCATAATTGAAAACAAAGCCGCCTAAGATTGAGAAAAGATGTACAGGTTCGCAAGTGCTCCCATAACTCCTTTGTGAATCTGGCCCCAGAGAAGCAAAAGACAAGAATAGGAGAAAATAAGAGAAAATGGCAGAAGGGAAGAAAGAAAATATGTAAAATGGAGAAATGGAAAAGGCAGAATAACGAAAGGGAGGAAGAGACTAAGGAGAAATGGTACAGGGAAATAAAAAAAACAGATGACCTAATTATACTCTTTCGGTGATCATCGATGGGGACAGGAAGCCCCCGGCGGCTTGCGGAAGGTCACCAGAGTTTTCCTGACCACTTTCTCCCCCCCCCCCCTGTATTTAAACCTCTAACACTAGTTAAACAAGACAAGGCCAGCAAAAGGAACAAGAGGAAAGCAAGTCATTACCAAAAGAAGGCATCAAGCCGGGGAGACTGTGTAGCACCATCAGTGTTGCTGGATATGCAAAAGGTGTTAAATATCGCTGAGGATGCCAATCCCAAAACAAAAGAACATAGAAGTAGGCATCCATCAGTCTCAGGAGACTATGGAGTTGCGCTCTGGTTGTCTGTCTGGAGTGGCCTCACCAGGGCGCAAAGCCAGGGTAGGTTGATTCGGGGGAGAAGCTGGCCGGCCTCCTCCTTGATCTTGAAGGAGGCCGGCCTCGGGTGAAAAGGGGCTGTGACGAAAAGAACATAACGCGAGCAACATCAAAGGTATCCGACTCGCCAAGGATTTTGTCGAGGGTCAAATGACCTCGAGGGACAAATGACTTCGAGGGTCAAATGACTTCGAGGGTCAGTAGTCAAGGAAGACACGATCGTTCTGAAGATCGGGACATTCCACAAGGAGGTACACGACTGCAAGTGAGACAAGGCAGTGTGGACAATAAGGAGCAGGGTCACGCTCCATTAAGTGCTCAGGAGTTAAGCATGTCCGGCCAATATGCATTCTAGAAAAATAAGTTCCATTCCATGAATTACGCTGGGATCGAGGAGGAAGGCCAAGGGGACGGGTTACCTTTAAGAGATGCGCAGTTTGTTACCCGTTACCTAAGACCAGCTGGCAGACACTGCGGACTGAGGAATGAATGACAGGATAAAAGGAGTCTGAATAAGGAACGCTTTTTTTTTGGGGGGGGGGCGGGGAAAGAGAACAAGTATGAATAACCTTGTTAGCGGCAGCGTCCGCACGTTCATGTAAAGACACGCCAATATGGCTGCGAACCCAGCAAAACTCAAGTGACTTAAATCAACTGGAGAAACAGCCAATGTTGAATTTCGACCAGCCCAGGATGCATAGGGTTAAATGACTTCAGGGCCACGAGGGAACTGCGGGAGTCAACCATAATGAAAAAGGAACGTTGACGTCGGAAAAGCAGTGGACGAAGAGCATACAAGACTGCATTAAAGGTGTGTCGTGAAGATGCTATAGTCTCCGGAGGTGGACGGCACATGGAGGTGTGGTCAGGAAAGACAACAGAGTAGCCAACACCGTCGACAGACTTGTACCTATCTTTCAAGAGAGCACTGGAGCAGGAGTGTGAAAAAAAGGCGTTTTATAGCCGAAGGAGGGTTGGTAGCCCTCGAACCCTCCTAGCCCTTTATAGCCGGTAGGAGGGTTGATAGCCCATATGTATTTTTTAGAAGCCTTAACCAGGGGTCTGTGAAACCGATCTACACAACATTCGTTAAACCAATACTGGAATATGCAGCACCGGCCTGGAATTAGCACACTGAGAAGCATCAGCCCAAACCTTAAAAAGTACCGAGATTTGCAACAAGATTAGTGCTACAGCTAAGAGGGCGAAGCTCTTAGGGCAGGTTAAGGGAACTATATCTCATAACCATGAATGAAAGACACACAGGGTACATGATCGCAACATACAAGATACTAAGGGGAACTGACAAAACGGACATAGACAACCTTTTTAAAGTAAGATAATCAAGACGAAAGGACACAAGTAGAAGCTGGAGAATTAAGTCAAAGAAATGTAAGGACCTCCCCGCACCCTGTACGGTGGTCAACGACCGACACACAACAAGTTGTAGGAGCCGCCTCCACCCACAACTTTAAGGCCAGATTAGACAATGAATTCGAACGTCAAAATTGTTAAATTAGAAGACAAGAGATATACAACATGCGGGGCATGAAGAGTTAGACCTCACCTGCCCATAATGAGTGACGGGTGAGTACCCATTACTGCCATTATGGCATGACCCACTTGAAGGTGCCAGGAGGGACGAGGCCGCCATGGTCACGGGCCAAGCCTCGCACAGTCCATGTGACAAACCTCGCACAGGTCACGTGATAACCCCCCCCCCCCGCACAGTCCACGTGACAAAAACACCCTCCCCCGCACAGGCCGCGTGACAAAAACACCCCCCTGCACAGGCCGCATGACAAAAACACCCCCCCCCCTCGCACAGGCCCGGTGACAAACACACCCCCCTGCACAGGCCACGTGACAAAAACACCCCCCCTGCACAGGCCACGTGACAAACCCCCCCCCCCCACACAGGCCACGTGACAACCCCCCCCCCCCCCACACAGGCCAAGTGACAAAAACACCCCCCCCCCCACGCACAGGCCACAAATACCCCCCCTGCACAGGCCCCGTGATAAAAACACCCCCACAGGCCACGTGACAAAAACACCCCCCCCTGCACAGGCCGCGTGACAAAAACACACCCCCTGCACAGGCCACGTGACAAAAACACCCCCCACACACAGGCCACGTGACAAAAACACCCCCCCCCCTGCACAGGCCACGTGACAAAAACACCCCTACCAACCCCCCCCCCCGAACAGGTCACGTGATAACACCCCCCCCCCCCGGACAGGCCACGTGACAACCCCCCCCCCCCTGCACAGGCCGCGTGACAACCCCCCCCTACCGCACTGGCCATGTGTCAACCCCCCCGCCCCGAACAGGTCACGTGATAACACCCCCCCCCCCCGGACAGGCCACGTGACAAAAACACCCCCCCCTGCACAGGCCATGTGACAAAAACACCACCCTCCCCGCACAGGCCGCGTGACAACCCCCCCCCCCCCCGCACAGGCCACCTGACAACCCCCCCACCCCCGCACAGGCCACCTGACAACCCCCCCCACCCCCGCACAGGCCACCTGACAACCCCCCCCCCCCCCCGCACAGGCCACCTGACAACCCCCCCCCCACCCCCGCACAGGCCACCTGACAACCCCCCCCCACCCCCGCACAGGCCACCTGACAACCCCCCCCCCCCACCCCCGCACAGGCCACCTGACAACCCCCCCCCCCCACCCCCGCACAGGCCACCTGACAACCCCCCCCCCCCACCCCCGCACAGGCCACCTGACAACCCCCCCCCCACCCCCGCACAGGCCACCTGACAACCCCCACCCCCGCACAGGCCACCTGACAACCCCCCCCCCACAGGCCACCTGACAACCCCCCCCCACCCCCGCACAGGCCACCTGACAACCCCCCCCCCACCCCCGCACAGGCCACCTGACAACCCCCCCCCCACCCCCGCACAGGCCACCTGACAACCCCCCCCACCCCCGCACAGGCCACCTGACAACCCCCCCACCCCCGCACAGGCCACCTGACAACCCCCCCCCACCCCCGCACAGGCCACCTGACAACCCCCCCCCCACCCCCGCACAGGCCACCTGACAACCTCCCACCCCCGCACAGGCCACCTGACAACCCCCCCCCACCCCCGCACAGGCCACCTGACAACCCCCCCCCCCCCACCCCCGCACAGGCCACCTGACAACCCCCCCCCCCACCCCCGCACAGGCCACCTGACAACCCCCCCCCACCCCCGCACAGGCCACCTGACAACCCCCCCCCCCCCACCCCCGCACAGGCCACCTGACAACCCCCCCCCCCACCCCCGCACAGGCCACCTGACAACCCCCCCCCCCACCCCCGCACAGGCCACCTGACAACCCCCCCCCCCCACCCCCGCACAGGCCACCTGACAACCTCCCCCCCCCCCACCCCCGCACAGGCCACCTGACAACCTCCCCCCCCCACCCCCGCACAGGCCACCTGACAACCTCCCCCCCCACCCCCGCACAGGCCACCTGACAACCCCCCCCCACCCCCGCACAGGCCACCTGACAACCCCCCCCCCCACCCCCGCACAGGCCACCTGACAACCCCCCCCCCCCCACCCCCGCACAGGCCACCTGACAACCCCCCCCCCACCCCCGCACAGGCCACCTGACAACCCCCCCCCCCACCCCCGCACAGGCCACCTGACAACCCCCCCGCACAGGCCACCTGACACCCCCCCCCCCCACAGGCCACCTGACAACCCCCCCCCCACCCCCGCACAGGCCACCTGACAACCCCCACCCCCACCCCCGCACAGGCCACCTGACAACCCCCACCCCCACCCCCGCACAGGCCACCTGACAACCCCCCCCCCTCCACCCCCGCACAGGCCTCGTCACACCCCCCCCCCTCCCACACAGTACCAAACACACCCACTTACCTCCACACTAACACAAGTCCATTCAACAGTCAAACATTTCACTAGTAGCAACTAGTTGCTGCTAGGGGGACATAAAACCAAGACAGAAACAATTAGAGATGGCAGCAACTGCCATCCAAGAAGAGTAATATTATCCGAATTAAATAAGAACCGTCAGAGAAAGCCGGCCAGCAAAAATTGTAAACATTGACAGTTGACAATGGTGTGGCAGTAGAGGCTAGCAAGAGAGCCTCAAACCTGCTGCCAAGCTCACCCACCGAGCCGCTAGTATAAACTGTAGCACGAACTGTCGTGGAGGGAGGACTGGTGTAACGTTACAACTGAATACAACTTAAGTTGTGCCGCCTCTATAGTGCCGGCAAACTATACAATGCTGTCGTGGACAATGCCCCAAGAGGCGACATTTGACTACCTCCAGTTACTCAAGGGAAATATGCAGAGTGGGTGTCACAGATTACCCTGTGGCACTCCACGTGATGGGGTGACTCCATACACAGTTACAGCAAGCGGATACACAAGTCATTACACTGCGATTATCGGCCTTATGGAAAACCACGTCAAAGATGTACCATGTACAGAGAGTAGTGAAATATGTGACCCCTTGTGGCGTGCCTTTCCCCCTCACAAACTTCATACCTTGAAGATAGCCGAGTGCTGGATGCTGCAGGGGCGTTTGTCTCATCTCCCAGGAGGAGTCTTGCGGGTAATTGTGGGCCAGACTTCCGGGAGACAGGTTGTGGGAGGTTGACGGCGCGTCCTGCATGGGAGATGTGTTTGACAGCTGTGGGAAGACGTTCCAAAATTGCTGTGGTGGGTAGCTGTGAGCAGATTCTTCAGGGGAAATGTTGGGGGTAGCTATGGGCAGGTTTCCCATGAGTGATGTGGCGGGCTGATGTGGGTTCGTCATCCAAAAATTATGTGGTGAATAGCTGTGGTTTGGTGTTCCAAGACTGATGTGTTGAGTAGCTGTCGGTTCCTCATTCGTAAACGACGTGGTGGGTTGCTGTGGGTTCGTTGGCCAGGAGTAATTTGGTGGGTTGCTTTGGGTTGGGTCTTCGGGAGAGACGTGGTGGGTCGCTGTGGGTTGGTTCCACAGCACGTATGTGGTCTGTGCCTGTACCAAGGAGAGATGCGATTGGGAGCTATGGATTAGTTCCCCAGGAAATAAGGGCCGGAAAGTTGTGGGTTGATCCGCCGGGAGAGATGTGGTGGGCAGCTGTGTGGTGGGTTCCCATGACTGATGTTGGGGATGGGTTGGTCCTCCAGCATAGATGTAGGGGCCACCTGTGGGTTGGTCCTCCACCATAGATGTGGTGGGCAGCTGTGTAGTGGGCAGTTGTGTAGTGGAAAACTGTGTGGCGGACAACTGTGTGGTGGACAGCTGTGTGGTAGACAGCTGTGTGATGGGTCCCCAGGGTTGATGTTGGGGAAGGCTGTGGGCTGCTTCTCCAGCATAGCTGTGGTGGGCAGCTGTGGGTTGGTCCTCCATGAGAGATGTGGTGGGCAGCTGTGTGGTGGGTCCCCATGACTGATACTGGGGAAGGCTGTGGGCTGCTTTCCCATCATAGCTGTGGTGGGTAGTTGTGGGTTGGCCCCCAACTAGAGATGTACTAGGGAGCTGTTGGTCGACTTTCCAGAAGACATTCGGAGGATACCTATGGGCTAGACCTTCAGGAGAAACATGTGGGGCAGCTGTGGGCTGCTCCATCTGGGGAGATGGTGTGAGAAAATACATGTCTATGTCCCCGGAGAGGTCTGGAAGGTGGCTGTGGGCTGACCCCACTGGAGAGATGTGAGGGGTAACTATGAGCTGGTCTCCAAACAAAGATCCGGAGGAGAGCCGAGGGCTGCTCCCCCAGAAGAACTGCGGGGAGTTGTGAGCGAATCCACCAGACGAGACCTGAGTAACTGTGGGTTCGACCCCCATGATGGATGAGGCGGGCATCTGTGGGCTCGTCCGCCAAGAGAGATGAGGTGCATAACTGTGGGTTGGTCCTCCAGGATAGATGTGGGGGATAGCTGTAGGTTGGCCCTCCAGGAGAGATGTGGTTGGCACCCATGGATTGGACCCCCAAGGGAGGTGAGGTGCATAGCTACTGGTTGCTTCTTCCCGAGAGGTGTGGGGGATAGCTGTAGGCTGCTCCTCCACGAGTGATGTGGGGGCAGCTGTGGGCTGGTCCTCCATGAGAGCTATGGGGGCATCTGTGGGCTGGTCCTCCATGGGAGCTATGGGGGCATCTGTGGGCTGGTCCTCCATGAGTGCTGTGGGGGGGTAGCTGTGGCTTGGCTCACCAGGAGAGCTGTGGGGGGTAGCTGCGGCTTGGTCCACCAAGAGAGATGTGGGTAAGGGGGGTGTAGCTGTGAGTTGTTCCACTCAAAAAGTGCTTCGCTCACGTTCAACGTTCGAACCCCGCTGTTCTTAATCTCGTAATACCTCACCCATATACAGTACACTAAATATCCAGCCAGTCCTCACGAACACCGCCTAAATGCTGGTTAAACCACCCTCTAAACCCCCCTTATTTATGTATGTAAGACAATTAACACACGATTAACAACTGACGACGCGCGAGCTGTTCTCGAAGCACTAAGTCCTCCATTTGAATTGCATCTCTGTAAATGCTTCACCCGCGAATTACACCTCTAAACAACTGGTTACAGAATCTAAATACACAACACAGTCTAGCCCAAACTACACACCACATTCTAATATATAATCATCCTCATTTGTAAAGAGTAAAAAAACGATTTTGAATACACAATTGGTTAAAAAATATATATAATGCATCTTAGTGATGGGCCGCCCTCCCCCCCCCCCCCCTGCCCTTGAAGACTGAAAACCCCGTTACAAATAATTACAAACAATCGCCACCCAGACCAAAACACCTCACCTAACCCCCCAACTTAACACACAACTATAATAATATTATTTTAGGTTTGATAGAATGCAATTTATTGTTACACATTATGGAAACAGCCTAGGGACCGGCTGTTGCCATCCTGGGTGGTAGGCCATTCTTCCATCCATATTACTCTCGACCAGACTGCCGCCGTAAACAAAATTAGCCATTTGTTTCGTATATCGTAATGAAAAAAACACAATCGACTCTTAAACACACATTAATATAAACATATATTGTAGTCTGATTTTCTTATTAGCCTAGGATAGGCTACGTTAATATGGATACTGAACTTTTATTTATACATTAATTTAGGATAGGCTACGACTGATGGGTTGCTTGCTGGCAGTTATTTGGTGGTGGTGTTGGGGGCCTATAAGGCCTATCAACCTCTGTATAGTTAGTAAGATCACCACAACAGTCTTCTGATCAACCACTAAGTATATCTTAGCGCTAAACATGTCGAGCACTCAAGCAAACTCTCAGCGTACATCCACCTAGCAGCAAGGGGGTATACCTCTCAGTATATATATACAAAGAAGCGGGATACACCTCTCAGTATATATACAGAGAATCGGGGTATACCTCTCAGTATATATACAAAGAGAAGCAGGGCATACCTCTCAGTGTAAACATCCCTGTAGGTATTACTTGTATCTCCAGGAGCCAACTCGTCCTCACACCAGGCTGTTTACAGCAGCGGTCGTCCTCCACTGACACATTCATCAATTTTAACATACTGTAGTTTTAAAAATTGGTTTGTTCTCGTATATAAATTAATATTACTATACATACAAATTCTAAGTATAGTTAGGCGTAGGTTAGGTCAGGTGTTTAAGTTCTGTTGGCGATTATATATATTTGAAATACGTGGGTGAAGCATTTATAGAATTGTGGTTCGAACAGAGGACGTGAGCGAAGCACTTGTTCCAGAAGTGTTCGGACGTCATCAGTTGTGAGTCAGGCCGTTCTCCAAACAAAGTCCCAAAAATTATTCCATGCACCAGCTGTTTATGAATGAAAAAGGTTTACACACGACTCACAACTGCTGACGTTCGAACACTTCCGGAACAAGTGCTTCACTGACGACTTTTGTTCGAATCACAACACTATAAATGCTTCACCCACGTACTACAAATACAAATAATCGCCAACAGAACCTAAACACCTGACCTAACCTAACCTATGCCTATATATACACAAAATGCTAATATATTATAAAATATTAATTTATACTTGAGAAAATTCCCGTTTTGAATGAACAGCATGTTAAAATTTATGAATGCGTCTGTGGGGTCGACCGCTGGATGGAATGAACTTTAGTCGAGGACGGGTTGCTATAAATGCTTCACCTACGTACTAAAAATACAAATAATCGCCAACAGAACCTAAACACCTAACCTAACCTATGCCTAAATATGCACACTATTCTAATATATTATAATATTCATTTATATTTGAGAAAATTACTATTTTGAATGAACAGCAAGTTGTTAAAAGTTGATGAATGCGTCTTTGGGGTCGACCGCTGGATGGAATGGACTTGGTCTGAGGACGGGTTAATACATATATATATATATATATATATATATATATATATATATATATATATATATATATATATATATATATATAATGGTGTCTAATTTCAATATGCATTTTAGAACTGTTTCTGTGTTTGTTATCCACGGAACACTGATCTATTTCCCACACTCACTCGTCCACAGTGTGAGTGAATGGGTGCAATACGAGAGCACTGAAGCGACTGTGGTCGGCACACCTTGCATTCCCACCCCGCCACACAGCCCAAGCCTCAGGTCAAACACATAATTGTAACTAGCCACAAGCTCAAGTCGCTCTTATTTTGGGAGGATGTAACCATTAATACCTCTGAAACTCACCACGTACCGTGCTTGGATGGGGAAAAATCGTAGCACTCGCCTTATATTTATAAATATAAATGGTCATTACTGTAGTAAGTGTAGACAGGTGATTGGTATTTTTTGTATTTATTTACATGCAGAGCATGCTAAATAAGTACAATAAAATAATTACAGTAAGACAACATTACACAAACATTGGAAAACACAGAAACACATGAAACACAAAATACAAAGCAATGAAGACACGCAAAATACAATAGAGAGAGCAGCCCAAAACGGGCACACAAATACAACACAGTACAGAAAGAAACACAAGAACATACAGAAACACATGACATAAACAAAACAAAGGTACGAAACCATAGGCCTCAAGGGCCAACTGAGCCACAAAGCTAAACATAAACATAAGACAAGAGCATAACAAGAATACATCATTTAACATACTTCTGCGGAAATTTAGCCCTCAGCATGCGGATACAGGACGCCTCCCACAGTAGCCACTCATCGTCGGGAATATTCCCAGGCATCTTCCCCGGGTGCAACATAAACTCAGGAATGCCAGTGACGAATTTCCGTGCACTAGGCACCAATTCCGTCGCACCCGAAGGCACAGCACCTAGCACCACAGTGGACCCTGACGAGGCAATCACCCCCTCAGCAAGTGCCTGCAAGACGGGGCGTGGCACAACGGGGAAATCACACCCAACGTCCCACAGCGGCGCAGACACAGAGCTCCCATGAAGAACATCCTTCTTCAGGACGACCGCAAAGTTCCTGGCCGCAGGAGCCACCTCCGGAGAAGGGACCATTTCCAACACTGCAGGAAGCTGAAAACAGGCGGCACAGGGGGGGGGAGGAAAGGAGCTTCTCACAGCCTCGTCACCATCCGCCGCGTGTACCTCCGCCACCACCACGGCCTAAGCCGTACTGCCAACACCATTGGTCACCACGTCGACAGGAGACGACACACAACTTGGAAACTTCCCCACATCTGCCCAGGCCGTGTCTGTCGAGGCCAAAACAGGGGAGGAAAGCCGCGTGCACTTAGGATTCGGGCACGAATCGTCCGAGGTGTCCACGGGACCAGAAGCCAAGACATGAGAGACGCTGGGAGCCCGTACCCGGGCACGACGCAGGACCTCGGTAGCAACAATCACATAAGCCACGCCCACCCCAGCATCACCATCAACAGCCACCGAAACCACACCCAGCAACTACATAGTATCCGGCGCCGGAACACCATCAGGAGCCGGCACAGAAACCGACACCAGGCAAGGCTCGACATCCACAGGCACTTACACCGCTTCACACACCAAAATTCCGTCGACAGCCATCGGCAGAAAATTCTCTTCACCAAAGAGATTAACCCTCTCTACGGCAGCCGCCTAGCAGCCAGCAGCTAGGTGGCCCGACAACCCACATCAAAAGCACGTGCGAGCTGCCGCTCATAGTAGACAAGGATGTAGTAGTCCATAAGTTTCAGGGAAGATGGGATGTCCGAACGAAGCTACATCCCCAGAGTCCGGATACTAGTCCGTACGCCCCGGAGCTTCCTGGAGGAAATCATAATCATCTACACACTCTCGACAGTGCCAAACTGCCCGAAGTACTGCCTCAGTAGCTTCTCCTGGAATTCAAGTGGCACACCATGAACACTCACGTATGTGAGGGCACCACTCCGGTCGGAGATAACTACCGATCCAGCAGCGTCCGCCAGTTGAAATGACCGCCCTTCGTAGCAATGACCGCCCTTCGTAGCGGCGCAAAAGCACTCTGTAATCCTGTGTGTCAGCAAATTTCACCACTTCCCGATGAGAAGAGATGCATTCCACGCCATAGATGACAACCTCGTCCACACGTAGCATCTCACATAACACCAGCTCCACTGCAGGACAGTCAGCCTTGCCAGTAAACTCAAGGCTGACAGAGTGAGTCTGCCTGTAAAATGGGGGGGATGGAGCCCCCCCATCACTCAGGCCATGTCAGCAACTCGACCAAAGTCTGCCTGCTACACCGGGCGAGAAACGATTTTGTGACTGGTATAGTGCACACCCACTCTCCCCTGCCGCTTGTGGCCACCACTTCCCATCACCAAGATATCTTTTTTCCCTAGATTTGAGCACTGTTTCACTGGCCTAGCTATTTGGAGTCCTATCAAAAAGAGCGAGGTGAACCCTCCGGGAAGTGCTACATGGGGATACTGTACAACAGGGATTCATAAATTCTTGGGGGAGTATGGGTCTCAATCTCTGAACAATTAAATAAAGTAACTTGTTGTTTGAATAGAGTTAACCATCACCTTTATCAATATGGATTGAGGTGGTTCCACGTTTTGAATGCACAAAAACAACAGGAAAAGCCTCACTAGTTGTAGCTAGCTGTGTATTTGGGATTTGCCGTTTTTCCACAAATATATATATGATCAAATCCTAATGATTTTCTTCCAGCTGTTGTGTTCATATTTTCCATATGTAAATTAAAACCCTGATATTGACACATGTTGAAATCATACTGGTAACTAATAGTAGTTGTAATTGGTGTCGTAAGTTGTGGTGGTGGTTGTAACTTCTCCAATGTGGCAAAGGGGTTATGGGGACACACTGGGGTAATTCATTGGAGGTCTGTAATTGTGAAAAGGTTAAGAACTCCTCTCTTAGAATGTGTACTGAGCTAGAAAAACTAATTTCGAGATTACACAAAGTCCTAGCAGCAAGATACCACATCTTGTGGAACTAGAGATGACAGCACAAGGCACACGCCGGCTTCCTGTTCCCGTCGAGGCCGCTGTAGAAGATAATAGCCCTCAGGTAAATTCTGTGATCCTGTCGACAACCCAGTCACAGGACAACTCCATGACACGGGTGGGGACGCCACCAACCACAGGACTACCCCATGACATGGGTGGGGACACCACCAACCACAGGACTACCCCATGACATGGGTGGGGACGCCACCAGCCACAGGACT